CAGTTCTCTGGGGGTTATGCGGGGGCATGCGTTGGGGGGTGGCGGGGAGCTGACGAGGCAAGGGCCTCGCCATCACTTCCCCGCCTCGCCGGTGGCAGCCAGCAGCTTGTCGATGATGGCCCGCAGCGCCGGGGCGCTGCTGCTGCCGCCGCCGCCGCCGGAAGCGGAGCCGTCTGCGCCGGCGGTCTCAAACACCGAGCGCCCTTCCTCGCACGCCTTGCTCAGCGCTGAGTCCAGCGGCACGCTTCCTAGGAAGGGCACCTGCAGCTCACGTGAAGGGAGGGCAGCCACATGAAGCCAGGGCAGCCAGGGGGGCAGCCAGGGCCAGGCGCCAGCTCAGCGGCAAGCGGGACGCCGCCTGTGCCGCTTCTGTGCCAGCTGGGCGGCGCAGCCGAGTGCTGCAGGCGGCCGCAGGCCACCAGCACAGGCTCCTTGGGACCGACCTGCATGTCTGCGGCCATGTGTGCAGCGCCGCCGCCGCTGGCATGGAACACAGCCGTCTCAGCCATGACCTCCCTGCCTGCCCCGCCGCCGCCGATGCCGCCGCCGTTTGCCGCCGCGCCGCCGCCTGCCGCCGCTGCGGCCGCCTCTGCCGCCTGCAGCACGGCTGCCGTGACGTCCTGCCCGTCCGGGCCGTAAAACTTGAATGTGGACAGCGGCTGGCGTAGGCCGCTCATGTTCTCCACTACCCCCAGCACTGGGATGCCGGTCTGTGTGGTGTGTAGGCGGGGCGGGGCAGGCAGGAGGGATTGCAGTTATCAGGTGGAGCCAGGGTGAGCAGGGCCGGTCGCACTGGTTGCACTCGCCGCCACTCTCACTTTGCTCCTGCTCGCCAAGCACAAGCACACTTCCAACACCCCCTCTTTCGGCCCCTCGGGCCGCCCTCTCCCCGCTCCACCCCCCGCTGTGGGCCGGGCCACGCCCTCCTGCCCACCCCCTCCCGCCCACCCCTCCTGCCAACCCCCTCCTGCCAACCCCTCCTGCCAACCCCCTCCCGCTCACCCCGCCCTGCCTCACCTTCTTGCAGAAGTTGATTTCCTTGCGCACATCAATGATGGAGACCTGCTGGGGGGTGGTCACCACCACCGCGCCATCCACCCGCGCCTCTTTGAGGAACTGCGGGGCGGGCAGGGGGGAGCCACCATCAACGACGCCGCAGGGGCGCTGAGGGGAGGCGCCATGCACGGCAGGCAGGCCAGCAAAGGCCGCCAACCGCACCCTGGGCTCAGACCCACCCCACCACCACCAATATCGACGGCACACTCGTGTCACACCCACCGCGCACACCACACCAGCACGCGCACACCAGCCACCCGCGGCAAAGCCCGACCACCCCCATCCCCACCCCCACGAGCCCTCCGCCCCCCCTCACACACCCCCACTTACTCACACCATGCACACACACACACACACAGCACCCCCACACACGCAACCCCACCTGGGCGATGGAGATGTGTTCGTCGCTGGTGCCGGGCGGCGAGTCGATGACCAGGTAGTCGCAGGGCCCCCAGTGCACGTCCTTGAGGAACTGCTTGATGAGGCCTGCAGGGGCGCGCGTGTGTGTGTGTGTGGGGGGGGTGCGGGCAGGAGGGGTGGGTGCCAGGTACAGGCTCTTGTGTGGGCATGGGGCAGTGCGGGGTGAGGTGGATGCGGGTATGAGTGGGGTGTAGATGGGCGCGTCGAACTGCGGCGTGCCGGCCGCCGGCCGCCGCCCAAAGAGGGAGGCGGGGCGTCCACGGCCGCGCTGCGGGCCGGCCTTGCTGCGCAGCCACAGGCGGCGCACCGTTCTTGCGGGGCCCCCGCCAAATCACGGCGTCGTCTGGGTTGGGCAGCATGAAGCCGATGCTCATGACCCCCAGGTTCTCCTGTATGCGGTGCGTGGAGGGGAGGGGAGGGGGCGGCGGGAGCGTGGGGAGGGGGCATGTGTGGCATGGGCGGGCGGGAGGTGGCATGGGCGGGCTGGCACGGGCAGGCAGGGCAGGCGCCCGTCGGGAGGGGAAGCAGGGTGGACTGGCGCGGCGCGCCGCCTGGCGTGCGGGCGGGGGTGGTCTGGCCTGCGTGCGCGCCTGCACATACACGGGCGACCAGCCGGCGCCGCTCTGGTGGATCTCCTCGCCCTCCAGGCCCAGCATCTTGGGCACGGAGGGGCCGCAGATGTCGATGTCAAGCAGCCCCACCTGCACGCGTGGCGGCCGTGGCGCGTGCAAGCTTTGAGCCGGCGGCGGCGGCGGCGGCGGCGACCAAAACGGAGCGCGGGGCGCGGCGGGGGGCACGCAGCAGCGGCGGGCAGCAGCAGGAGCCGGCGGGGGAGATGGGAGGGCGGAGGCAGAGGCAGAGGAGGGCCCAAGGCGGGGTGCCGCCTGCGGCGTCGGCCCGGCGCCGTGCGCTGCGGCGCACCTCCAGCCCCCGTGCCGCCAGGGCGAAGGCCAGCTGCGCGGAGAAGGTGCTCTTGCCCACGCCGCCTTTGCCCGACAGCACCAGCACGATGTGTTTGATGGGCGCCAGGCGGGCGGCAATGGCGGCGAGGTCGGGATCCACGGCTCCCTTGGGGGCGGACGCGCAGGCGGCCTGGTTGGGGCAGCCCGCGCAGGCCGCTGCCTTGCCCGCCTGCTCGTCCTCCGTTCCGGGGCAGTCTGCAGAGGGTCGGGGCGGCAGCGAGCAGCGGCGGAGCGTCGGCAACGGGGGCAGGTGGGCGGCGGCGGCGGCGGCGGCGGGTGGCAGTGGCGGTGGCGGCGGGCATCCAACCAGTGCGATAGCTGGCGCGCGCAGTGCAGTGTCTGACTGGGCTATTTAGCAACCACAGCGGACCGCTGGGACTCCGCTCGGCTTGCCCGATCGCTCACGGCCGCATGTGTGCTGCAAACAAGCCCTATGCATCGGCTCTCTGATCCTGCGCTAAGACACCGCAGCTCACGCTGGTTGGCGCCTTCTGGCACGGAACCTCCTGCACTCATCTCGGCAGTTCTCCTTTACTAAGCTGAGAAGCTGCAGGGTCACCGAAGCAAAAGATGAATAATTCAGCAGGAGAGGTTGCAATCCAAGGAAAGCTTACTGTCCACCAGGCGCTACACGGCAGGCGGGTGGACACCCCCCAATTCACCACCTCCTTGCTATATTGGTGGGGTTTAGAGAAGCATCGGACCGCATCTCGGTTGATTATGGTGGCAGACAGGGCCGGACATTTAGAGGCCCTTCAACAACGCAACGCTGCCACTAGCACCCCCGCCGCACGCCCTCTGTGCCCCGTGAGACCAGCGGCCCGGTGTCACTGAATGCCGCGTAATTGAAGCCTCTTATGTGCAAGCACTTTTCCACAGCGCATAACGCCGGATGTTTGCTTTCAGGAAGCGGGCCTCAAGCGGGCCTTCGGACACTGTACCTCCTGCCACACACTTGTGCCACCGCCTTGGCTCGAAACTTGCCGCTACTCGCTATGTTTTTCTCCTTTATGAGGCCTGGGGGCCTGCACCTCAAAAGGGGCACCGACTGAGCTCCTCCCCTCCCCGACTCTGAGCTCCTCCCGCCCGCGGCTGCAGCCATGGCTGCATCCTCGGGCTCTGAGGTGGGAGGTCGGAGAAAGCCCATGGTGAGAACTCGCGGTGCCCAAACGCAGCACATCCTGCCGTGTGATCAGGCTCCGCCGCGGCTCAGCGGCCCTCAAAATGCATGCCCTCGGCGGTGGTTGCGTGCCGCTGCGGGCGGAGGCCCGCTCAGCTCGACCCGCTCCCAAGGGCCCCATCCGCCACAGCGCATCTGCTGCCCTCTTTTGCTGCAGTACGAGGACGAGCATGCCAGCTGCAGCGTGTTGCTCGCCAAGTAAGCGAGGCAGCGCAGCCAGGGGCTGGGTGGCCACCCGTCTGGGACACTTTTTCGGGGCGGCAGCCCTCTGGGCTTCCTGCCCCTGCTTGTTCGGCTTCCCCCCTTGATTGTTTGCCCTGTCACTGCACTGAGAGCCCCTGGCACCTGTGCTGTGCCCTGCGGCCGTCTGCCAAGGCGCACCACATTTCCCGCCGATACCGCCGCTCAGCCGCGGCCGGGGAGCTGCCTGCCCGCGCCGAGCGCCGCGCCCCCGCTGCCCCCGCTGCCGCGCAGGATTCGGAACGAGGACAGCCTGCTGTGCCTGCCGCCGCACGACCAGTTCCGCTGGCTGCACCGCTTCTACTTGGTGCTGGACCGCATCGCCGAGCAGCACAGGGTGTACAAGCTGTACGGCGGCCCCCACGGCTTCATGATCAGCACCGGCGTGGCTGAGGCGGACGCCGACCACGCCGCCACGCTCCTCCGCTTCTCGCTGCACCTGCTGCAGGCCGCGCAGAGCGTGAGCGCCGCCGCCGCGGGGGCCGCCCTTGTGCCGGGCACCTGCTGCGGCATCACTGCCGCGTCTGCCCCCTCCGACCCCCTGCCTCCGGCACACATGCTCCCCCAGCCACCCCGCACGCCGCCTCTGTGCTCACTCCCTGTCTTCCCCTGCTGCTCCCTCCTGCTGCTGCTGATGATGCTGCAGATCCGGCTGGCGGGGTCTGTCCCGCTGGATCTTGTCATGGTGATGGCCAGCGGCCCCGCCACCAGCGGCCTGCTGGGCACCACCAGCCTCACCTACCAGGTGGGTGATGCGGGCAGGGCACGGCGCCAGCTTGCTGCGCCGACAAGATGGGCCGCTGGCAGTGCCCGGCGCGCCGCGGATGCCTGCCCGCGCATGTCCAGCCCCCCACGCCAGCCTGACGGCCCCTGTGCTGCCGTGCGGCGCCCCCTGCTGCCCCCCAGATTGTGGGGCGGTGCGTGTCGGTAGCCCGGGAGGTCATGGAGACACAGCAGAAGGTCCCCTTCATCGTGAGTGGGGTGGCGGGGGTGGCGCGGCCGGCTGCGCTGCTGCCCGCAGCTGCATGCAGCCGCGCCCCTTTCCTTGCCCCTGGCTGGCATGGCAGCCCTGGCTGGCATCAGCCTGCATGCGCTGCGCTGGGCCGAGGGGTTGCCGCGCCGCGCCGCCCTGCTGCGCTGCAGGTCACCAGCGGCATGTATGACAGCCTGGACCCCTCGGTGGCGGGCGAGCTCACGGTGCTGGGCAGCATGCCGCTGCGGTGCTGCCCCGGCGAGCAGGAGCAACTGTACAGCCTGCCGCGGTATACCGCGCTGCCCATGTCCAAGCTGCGGCTCGAGGAGGGCCCTCACCCCTTCCATGTGGCAGCCGGCGTCGGCGGCGATGCCAAGCTCAGCAAGAGCCCGGAAGGCGCAGCGGCGGCGGAGCAGCAGCCGAAGCAACAGCAGTGGGCGGCACGCGCAACGTACACGTATGTGGCAGGCGTGGCTAAGACGGTTGCAGCAGCCCCTGCCGGGGGCTATGCGGCAGCAGTTGCAGGAGCAGGCGGCACTGGGCTGGCGGGCAGGCAGGCACTGGCAGAGCAGGCAGAGGTGGAGGCGGCTGGAGCCCCAGCCCCAGCGCACATTGCTGCCAGCCTGGCGGCGGCAGCCAAGCTGCAGCCGCCCGCTGGCGTGACTGTGACGAGAGAGGGCAGCCTGCCATACAACCAAGCCAGGTGCGCAGACGGTCTGGAGGCGCGCCGCCGCCCACGTGCCGTGGGAATGCTGGCAGCCGCGCTTGGCGTCGTGCGTGCTGCTGCTTTACCCTCGCTCCTCGGGGCCTTGCGGCTGCCATGAAGCCCACGCCCCCTGTGCTGCCTGTGTGCCCCCTGCTGCAGCTCTGATGCCTGGCTGGAAGCTGACCTGCTGCTGCGGTTTGAGGACGCCCACCTGGAGGCCGCCTTTGCGCGGTTCAATAACGAGGCGCAGCACAGAGGTGGGGCCAGGCGCGCCGCCTGCGCAGGCTTGCTCTGTGGGCGCAGCCGGCTGCGAGCCGTGCCCTCGGCATGTGCTGCGCCAGCTGGGCTGGCTTGGAGGTATGCACGTGTCCCCGCCCCTGCCAGCTCCAGCGGCCCGCGCCTGCCTCCCCCGGGTGTGGCGCAGGCGAGCTGGCCTGGCTGATGCTGGGCCTGCTCACGGCGGCACTGTATGCTGTGGCGTGGACGAGCCCCGCCATCTCCCCCCTCCGCCTCCTCCAGTTCCAGCTGCTGCCCGCGCTGGGGGCCCTGGCGTGCCGCTACCGCCACGAGACGTACCTGAGGTGAGCCCGCCAGCTGGCGCTGCTGCGCCCGCCCACGCCTGCCTGCCCACCCCCTCGCCACGGCCCCAGGCGGCCGACCTTTGGGCCTCCCCGCTGCGCGCGCCCACCCGGCTTCGCTGCCCCCCTCCCGCCGCGCAGGTACCGCGAGGCGCTGTGGTTTGTGCAGCGCCTGCTGCTGCTGCTCTCCACCTCGCTCCCCGGCTGCTTTGCGTTTGCCCACGCCAGCACCACCCCCATGTTCGCCTTTGGGCTCTGCAACATCGGGCTGGAGGTGTTCACGCGGCGAGTGAGTATCCTAAGCGCCGGCTGCGCCCCGCTGGTCACGCAGCTGCATGCCCCGGCCCCCTGCCGCCCGCCGCTGCCTCCGCCTGCGCCCGCCTGCCCCTCCCCGGCTGAGCTCCGGCGCCGCGTGCCCCTGCTGCCCCCCAAAACCTGCTGCCTGCAGCTGCGCCTGCACCTCCAGCTGCTCAACTCGCTGCTCATCTATGCCATCACGCTGTCGCTGATGAGCCTGCACCCCGAGGGCTCCCCGGGGCGCACCCTGATCACACGTGAGCGGCAGCCCTGGATGCGCTGCATGCGCCGCAGATGAGCGACCGCCGCTTGTCGTTTCCCTGCCTAGCTTCAGCTTGCCTTGCCACGGCTTGGCAGCGGCACAGGTCGTGTAGCCATGCCTTGGTTCTGGGCAGCGCAGCGCAGGGCTGGAACTTAGTCCGAGGTATGCTGCTGCTGCACCCCCCCCAATGCCCTACCTGCAGCCGCCTACCTGTCGCTGCACCTGGCAATCACCGTGCTGGCGCCGGTGCTGGTTGCTGGCGGCTGTGACTACATGACGCGCCTGGCTTTCCAGGCGCAGATGCAGCGGGCAGGCCTGCTCACACCGGCCAAGCCAAAGCAACAGTAAGCAGCCTGCTGCTATTTTGTTTGTGCCGGGCCTCCACAGGCTGTCGACCAGGAGGGTGCCAATCGCCCCTCAAAGCCCGTTGCACGGCCCGCAAGGCTCTCTGCGTCAGCCGTTCTCTTCCTTTTGTGGTTTTGCATTTCTCCTGCGGCGTTGTCTCGAAATCCCAGCCCACATCTCCTTGTTTTATTGAACAGTAGCAGGCCAGCTGTTCACTCTGCAAACCGCCTGTGCTTGGCTGGTTGATTTGAGCTCGCAGTTGAGCTGTTTATTTTATGTGCAAAGTAGACATGGCGCCGCTGCATGTCTGCCGATGCCAACGGTACGCATGGCGGCGTCCTCGGCTTGTTCACGCTCCCAGCTGTCCCCAACTTTCATGACTTTGGATAAGGCTGTATGCCTTTACATTGATTGTTCCACTGTTGAGTTACTTGCCGCCCACCCAGAAGCACAAAGTGTGCATGTCGCCACTACGCATAAGCGTGGCGGCGCCCCACCTGTGGCGCCCCGCTCGTGGGTGCCTTTTCCCCTTTTGCCGAACAAGCAGCCTCAGACGTCTGGGTGCATTCGTTGGCAACAACGGGGCGAATGCCTCTGTGCGCCTGTCGTACTTTGTGCGTCTTGCAAACCATGGCCAATGCTGCGACCTGTCGGTATGGTTTTGTCTTCATGCCCCCCCCCCGCCCTTCCGCGCCCCGCGGTTATGTTTCCTACCTCGGGATGAATGCCCCAACGGATGAATTAGTTCCTTGCCTCCAAATCATTGTGGACGGGTTTCAATGTTCCAGGCCCCAATGTTCGCCATGCCCCCAACATATTGCATGCCCAAAAACATGAATGTGTCCTTGCTTGTTCATCACTTTGAAAGGGTTCCAATGTCCCCACAGGCCTCTTTGTTCAATTGTTTGGTCTCCCAACATCACCATGTGACACGTTTTACACACTTAGGACACGCTGCGGTGCCGGTCAGCTGAGGCCCCAAAGCTCCACCGCGCCCACCCGAAACTCCTGGCTCCCCGCCAGGCTGTCGTTGCCAAAGGTGGTGCTGTTGCGGCTGAGGCCGGAGGCCAGGTCTGCATCCAGCCACAGCGCATACCTGCACCAGAGCAGGCAGGGAGGGGGCAGGACGCGTTGGAGGCCGGCAGCAGCGGCGGCAGCGCACGACGCCCCGCCCCCCTGCAGCGGCCCCGCCCCTGCGCAGCACAACACGCGCTGCCTGGCGGCCCATGCCCGTGGCCCAGCAGCCGCTCCCCCTGCCAGCCCGCTGGCCCGCGTGCCTCACTGCGCGGCCGCCTGCTGCCGCACAAGAGTCGCACCCTCACCCACCCGCCGGAGCCGCCGACCGCGATGGCATCTGCGCTGCCCCATTGGAAGTAGTCGTTTGGCTCTTTGGCCATGCGCCGCCACCACCAGTACCAGGCAGCAGGCCGTGGCTCCAGCTGGAACACAAACGTCTCGCCTGCGGTACAGGCAGGCACACGTGCCGCGGCGCGGCGTGCTGGCTGGGTGTGGCGACGGCACGGCAGCGGCGGCGGCTGGGCCGTGCCTGCCAGCCAGCCGTGGGGCGGCAGAGCCGATCCCTCAGCTGTGGCCCCAGCTGCGTCGCTTCCCAGCACAGCGGCGCCCCCTGCGCACCTGTGCCGAAAAAGCGCTTGTCCAGCCGCCACGCCTCGGAGCAGTACGCCCCAAACACGTGCCTGCAGCGGCGGGCGGCAGGCAGAGGCAGGCCAGGCAGCCGGGCTGCTCAGCGGCGGGAGAGGCCAGGCCAGGCAGGCTGTGCGGAGCACATGCTTGCCCGCTCCCGCCCTCTGCCGCTCCGCCCAGCTCCCCGCCAGCTCCATGACTGCATGCCACGCTCTCCACACCCACAACCCACGGCACGCCAGCTCATGCCCCGACCACCACCTGCCACCACCTGCCTCCAACGGTACAACCTTGCAGCCACCCGCTTGGGCCCAACCTCCGGTCCAGCCCACCTGTCAAAGTCGCGCACCACCAGCACGGTGGGCGCCTTGCGGGCAGCGTTGCGCAGCAGCGTCTGCAAGCTGATGCCATCCCGTGCCGTGGAGTAGAGCAGGGCCCAGCGGGACTGGCGGTACCGCGCTGGTACCGCTGCCGCCAGGCAGCGCACGTGATCTTCCGACATGAGGGTGGAGGGCTGGCTCATGGCCGGCAGCGGCTGCTGCTCCGGCTGCAGCGGCGCGGGCTCCGTGGTGGTGCCCTGCAGCCGCCCAAGCGCAGGCAGCGGCTGGGTAGCAGCACGGGGTGGGCGCCGGCGTGCCAGGAGCAGTGGCAACACCAAACATCACCCCAAGCCGGCAGCAGCGCGGGTGCAGGCATGCTGCAGGTCAGCGCCAGGCAGAGGCGGGGCAGGCAGAGGCGAGCCAGGCGGGCCAACCTCCTTTCTCAGGGTCTCTGCATGTGCACACCTGCAAGTCCTCGTCGTCTGCCCTCGGCTGGTGCTCCCCCGCTGCCACCGTGGGGTACCTGCTGGTGCCTCCGGGGCTGGTGGGAGGCTCTCCGTACTCGGCAGCAGCAGGCCCCTCCTCCTCCTCTTCATCCTCATCCCCGCTGCTGGCCGCCCGCGGGCTCAGAAGCTCCACAATGCGCGGCAGGAAAGGCACTCCGCCCAGGATGTTCCAGCCCCCGCCTTGTCGCTGCCCCTCCCCCTCCTCCTCCTCCTCCTCCTCCTCCTCTTCGCCCTCCGTGCCCTGCGACTCTCCCTCCTGCTGCCGCTGCTGGCCCCGCTGCGACTGCCGCCGCGACGTCGGCTGCGACTGCTGCTGCCAGTCCTGCTGCGCCGCCTGCGCGGAGGAGCTGGGCTCTCCGCGGCCGCTGCCTCGGCGGCTGACGCTGAGGGTGGCGGCGCCGCCTGGCAGCGCCGTCAGGTGGCCGCTATCCACGCCCTGGAGCTGCTGCTGCTGCTTGGCAGCGGCGGCGGCGGCGGTCGGGGTGCCGCCCTCTGAAGCCGTGGTGTAGTCGTCGTCATCCTCCACCAGATGCGCAATTCCTGCAGGCAGCGCGCAGGGTGGCCAGGTGGGCTGGGGGCCTCGGGGGAGACTGCCCGACAAGATCGACCGTCGCCACGGGCACAGCGCGCACCTTCAATGATTCTGGACAACATGCCGCGCTTGCTGCTGCGTGATCCGCGCTTCTTCTGGCCCGGGCGGCGCTGCACCACCTCTGCCTTGGAAGCGTCTGCCTGTGACTGCTGCTTGCAGGCGGCGCACGAGCAGCCCAAGTGGGCCATAAGAAAGGTGATAACACAGCGCGAGGGGCGATTCCAGGGCAAAGGCATGTCCCGCTGGCCGGCGGCGTACTGCACCGCTGCCGTCGCACGGCGTGAATGCCTGCGGAAGCTTTACACCGCTGCAACAAAGAACATTCGGGCGCTAAGGGACTGCTAGGGTCTACGAGTAAACAAGTGGTGGCAACCGTTGACAGCCAGTCCCGCAGGCGGGGCTGCCACGCCGCAAGCCGCGCCGGCACCTCACTGCTGCTTGCACTCCTGCGGCTGCTCCTTTGCGTCTGCTGCTGCCGGCGGCAAGCGCTTGGCATCGCTCTCGTCCTCAGAGTCCTCCTCCTGCAGCCACCAAGGCGCCCGGTCAGCCAGGTGTCCTGAACTTGCTCCAACTTTACTTTCTCCATCGCGCTGACAGCAAAGCATACACCTTTTCATATCCGTTCCTCCCTCACCTCCTCCTCATGGCCCTCATCTCCATCCTCGTCGTCCTCCTCCTCCTCATCCTCCTCATCCTCGTCCTCCTCCTCATCCTGCAGAACACACTGTCAGCAACTTAGCTGTGCCGGGCTTGCCGACGCAGCAGCGTGCAGCACCGTGCGCAGGCCCTCCCGCCTGCAGCTACACCGCTGCCGACCGCTTGCCTCATACTCCTGCAGCGCCTCCCCAGTGAACCAGCTGGTTGCCTCCGGGATGACCTTCTCCCTGCGTGTGGGGTGGTGGGGCGGGAAGGGTGGGTTGGAGGGTACGCGGAGCAGGGATAGGCGCCAGGGCCGCTCTCGGGCAATGGAGAGGAGAGCAGCACAGGCAGAGAGGGGGCAGACAGGCCCAGCGTAGTGGCCGGACGAGGCGGGCGGCGCCTGTTTGGGCCTGAGAACGGCACAGGGCCCCCGTTTCGCTGCCTGGCGCCGTCGCCGCCGGACGGCTGCGCACCACACCGCAGCCCCACGGCCAGCGCACACGCCACACCACACCGCCGCCGCCGCCACCACCCGCCCACCCACTTGATCATCTCCGCAATCTCAAAGTCGCTCTGCATGGCCTCCTCGAGCGCCTCCATCTCCTCCTGCGTGAAATCCTCCTCCTCCTCCTCATCCGGGATCTGCGGGGCGGTGTGTGTGTGTGGGGGGGTGGGGGCAGCAGCAGGGGTGGGGCGCGGCGGGAAGCGCGCAAAAAAGGAGCCGGAGGTTGGACTGCAAAGCGGAGGGAAGGGAGGAGGTGCGGCACCAGCAGGAGGGCGTCGCCAGCGCGCCGGCAGCCGCCAGCTCAGCGCCACCTCAGCGCCACCTCAGCGCCGCCCTCACCTCTGGTACCTCGGTGAACCAGCGGAAGAACGACTCCACAGACTCGGTCTTGGTCTGCGGCTTGCCCTTGGCCCCGGGCTTGGCCTTCTTCTTGAGCACCTTGACGGTCACATCCTTGCCCGCCTTCCAGTGCACGCCAGAGGCTGCGGGCGGGCGGGCGAGCGGTTGGTTGGGCAGGGTAAACTGGCGTGAGTCGGCCGTCGGCCATACGCGCATGCGGCGCGCGCGCACACACACACACCATAAAATAACACCAAAACACCCCTCTCACTCTCAATCTTGCGCAGCATCATGTCGTCCTCCTCGCTCAGGTGGTACGTCTTGGTCAGCTGATTGTTGGTGAAGTAGGGGTTGTCCCGGAAGCTGAACACGAGGCGGAAGCCCTGCGGGGCGCACGCGAGTGCGCACGCAATGGAGCGGGGTCGGCAGGGGGTGGCAGGGTGCGGTGGGCAACACGGGCGGTGCATAATAGCGCAGTGTGCTGCCGCGCGGCACATGCTGCGCAGCGCTGCGCTGCGCTGCCCTATGCTGTGCGACGTGGCAGGCGCCACGGCATGCTGTGCTGCGCTGCCCCGAGTGCTGTTCTGCAGTGCAGCCCGCCACACGCCCACATGCCCGCTCGGCGCCTCCCAGCCGAGCCTCACCTCGTCGCCCTCCTCCTCCCCCTCGCTGTGGAACTGCTCGCAGCGCACGTCTGTGCAGTACGACAGCACCTCGGCGTCCTTGTCGTTGATCTGCGCGCAGGTGGGCAGGTGGGCAGGAGCCAGGGGGCGGTGTGTGTGTGTAGAGCCGCATGGACGGCAGCAGCAGCAGAGGCAGCGGCAGCTACGCGGCAGCTGCGCAGCGCTCAGCCGCGGGGCCGGCGTGGTGAGCCGCGTGGCCGCACCCGCCCCGACACCTCCGGCCACTACACTCTTACAGCTGCCCACACGTGCGGGCGAGAGCACATGCTGCTGCGCCGCGGCACACCCAGCCACCCACCGTCTCCTCCTCCATCGCATTGCGCAGCGCAATCATCCAAAAGTCCGGCACGCCCGCGGGCACCTCGTCGGGCTCCGCAGCCGCCGCCGCCTTGCCCTCAGCTGCACACGAACGCAAAGAGAAGCAGGGCAGAGGGCCGCCGGCGGTGAGCACGACGCCGCGGGCGGCAGCAGCACAGAGCGCTGCGCCCCGCCAGCCCCCATGGAGGCTGCCAGGTGCAGGGTAGCGGGCGCGGGCGCACGGCCAGCCCGCGGAATAGGCACACAGTCAGGCCAACGGGCCAGGCGCGCCGAACAGCACAGCAGCACCTGTCTCGTTCTCAGGCGCCTCTGCCTTGCCGTTGACCACCTCGGCGCGCTTGTCGTACAGCGGGGCGTACAGCCGATCGTACTTCTCCTCCAGAGCACGCCGCTCCTCCCTGCCGGGGGGTGGGGCGCACGTGAGCGGCGGCAGCAGCAGCAGAAGCGTGTCATAAAGCCCGGCGGTGGGCGTCCAGCCAGGCGCTTGAGCCAGGATAGGGGCGAGCGTTGGACGGGGGCCCCACGAGCCAGGCTCCCACACCCTGCGCTGCCTGCCACCATTGGGGCAGCTGCTGCTTCTGCCCGCGGCATCACCAGGAAACACACCTGTACCGCTCGTACAGCTCGGCCCGCTCCCCGTCCAGCTCAGCCAGGTATTCGATGCGGGTGCGCACAGGAGCCGGCAGGCTCTCCACGTACCCAGACGACTGGCCCACCATCTTGTTCAGGGATCGCTGCGCGGGGCGGGGAATGGGGAGGACAAGGGGCGGCTGGAGCGGCGGCGTGCGGCGGCAGGGCCAAACCATTAAACTGCAACAGGCTGGGCCGCCCAGTCGAAATGCGGATTGGTTATCCGGGAGGAGTGGAGGGGGCTGGTGCAGCACAAGTGGCTGGCAAACTAAGGCAGCCGAGGGCGACAGAAGGCAGGTGGCGGGCGGCGGGCAGTGGCAGTGGCAGCCCCGCAGCAGCCCAGGCGGCGCGGGTATCACCTGCAGCGCTTCAACCAGCTGGCTGTTGCCGCTGGCCATCAACTGTCTGAGCACCTCTGCGCATGCAACTCAATCAAGCGGATCAGCGGCGGCGCCACCATGGGACAGCATGCGGTGCACCCGGCCGCCCTGTGTATCCCTGTGGGGCAAACGGAAGTGACAGCAGCATCGGCGAGGCCCCACCGGGAGAGACGTCGAAGGCAGCGTCACCAGACTCCTGGTCGCCTTCCTGCTCCTCGCGTCTGGGAGGCATGAGTCCTCACCGACCAAGCAATAGCAGGGACAGGAAAGGCTTGGTCCGCATTTGAATGCTGGGCCCATGCTGTGGCGGGTGGCAGGCAGGCGGCGGCATACGGCTGTTGCGGGTGGAATGCTGCCCTGAGCTTGGGCGTGCATTACGTCTGCATCCACTGCCGCGTGGCTGAGCGCCAGAAGGGGCTGAATTGTTTAATTCGAACACGAATGCTGACAGTGGTTGCGGCTCAAACATGTTTACAACCGGCGGCGGCAGCCGAGAGGCACAGGCGCCAAAAATTCTGAGCTGCAGCTGCTGGGCGACATGGCAGGCCCAGCGCCGCACAGCAGACCATGGGGCCGGCCTTGGGGAGCGGGGAGGCGCCCCCTCCACGCCAACAGGCCGCCCTGCTTTGCTGCCTGGCGGCGCCGTTCCCGCCTCCTGCTCAGCCCGCATACTTCACCACCAGCTCCTTGAGCTTGTCCTTGGCGGCGCCCACCAGCTCATCCACCTTCTGCCCGCCCTTCCACACCTGCGGCACGAGGGAGCCGCGGAGCGGGCCGGCATGGGCATGGGCAGGGAAGGAGGGTTGTGCAGCTCGGTGGCATGTGGGTGTCTGCGTATGGGCAGGGAGGGCGGCTGAGGCTCCCGACCAGGGCCGGCTGGGGGAGGCGCTCGCCTGGAAGGTGGGCATCGCGCTGATGCCGCAGGCCGCCGCCACCTGCTCCACCTCATCCACGTCCACCTGCAGGGAGGAGAGCGGCAGCGCGCGCAAGCCACTGAGGCAGCGTACAGGCAGCACGAAAACGCAACGCTGTGTGGACGCCGGCCACCACCTGCGGGCAGGTGGCTCACAGCATGCCGCCGGTGGGCCTTGCAGGTGCTGGTTCCATGCGGCCAGGCGGCTGCCCGGCATCCCTGTGCGCACCTTGAGGAAGACCACGCTGTCAAACTGGTTGGACAGCTCCTCAAACACGGGGCCAATCATGCGGCACGGTCCGCACCAGGTGGCGGTGAAGTCTGCACGGCGGGGCAGGGAGGGCTCGGGGCAGGCCCGTCGGTGCGCGGAACAGCTGGCGCGGCATGCAGCAAGGCACGCGTCCGGCCAGCCAGCACTCAGCTCCACACACTGTGTGGTTCCAGCCGCCACCCCGGCAGACGTGTGGCCGTTCCACCGACCGCGGCAGCCCGCGCCGGCAGCGCAGCGGCGGTGCCGGCTCACTGCTGCGGCCACACCCAGCCACAGGCGCGGCCACTGCTGCGTCCTCCCACGCGCAGGCAGCGATCACCTCATCACGTTAGCACACCGGGCCGTTTCCAACGTGCTGCTGCCGCCACCCCTAGTGCGGCTCACCTACGATGTAAGTGGCGTCTGCGTTGGTCATAACCTGGGCATCCCACTCGCTCTTGCTGTGGATGATGACCACCTTGCCGCCCATGGTTTGCTGTGCTCAGAGGACACGCGATCAAGCGCTGCCACAGGGGCCGGTGTAGTTCAATTCGAAGGCCACTCGGCGATGGGACCGATTCTATCAGCGAAGGTGTCGAGCTGGCGTGGCGTTTCCAAAACGCTGAGTTTGGCGGCCTGTCCGGCCTAATCAAGACTCTACCGACATCAGTGCCACTCTGATGAGCGTTGTGGGAAGGCAGCAGACCACAGGAATGGCCATATGGGCGATCACACCGGAGCGTGAGGCAGCCGCTGTGGGCCGTTCTACTCCTTAGGCATTGCCAGCAGTAAGGCAGGCGCAGCAAGTCGGAGGGTGAAGCTCAGCTGCAGGTTGGTGTCCGCAGGCAAGCAACTGCCGCCGCCCGCTGCCGCGCCCGTGCCTGCTGGGGCCATCCGTCTTTGTTGACGGCAGCAGCCGCGGCATGCACTCTGCACTGCACTGCCTCTGAAATGGCTTTCACCTCACGCCGTGTATGCCCTGTGCAGATCCTCTGTGCTCAGCACTACCCCCTGGGAGCTGGCGCTGGCGGCCACAGCCGCTTGCCGCCATGGCCGCCAGGAGCCCCCTGGCGACAGAGCTCGTGTGCGGCGTGTGCCAGGAGGATCTGCTGGGCGGTGGACGCGACCTGGGAGAGATCAGCTCGTGCAACCACAGGCGCGGCCCCTGGCTGCGCCCCTGCCGCTTTGTGCCGCCTGCCGCCGCCTGCCCTGCCGGGCGCCTCGCCGCGCCCCCTCCCGACGGCGCTGCCTGGAGCCTTCCGCCGCCGTGTGCACGTGCAGGTTCTGCTTCCCCTGCATTAGCAAGTGGGCTGAGATAGAGAACAGCTGCCCCTTCTGCAAGCAGCGGTTTGCGCAGCTGCGGCGCAAGCGCCTGGCGCCGCGCTCCGTGCTGCTGGCGGGCGGCGGGCTGGACCCCGCCGGCGAGCTGCCGGGCACCTACGTGGATTGCCAGCAGGTGGAGGAGCGCAACCAGGCGAGTCCGGCCAGCTGGGGGGCCTGCGCCGCTCGCCGCCGCATTTCCTGATGCGCCTCCCCGGCCGCTGGCCGTCGCCGGCTTCGAGCCGGCGCGCCGCTGTTGCCTGGGCCCGCGCAAGCATCCCACAACCGCAGTCGCTGAACCTGGCTGCTGCAAGGGCCCCTGCGTCGCCCCTGCTGCGGCTTCCAATTACCGCTTCCCCCAACCCACCCACCCGCCCACCTGCCGCTCCTCACCCCCTGCCCTGCCGCAGCGGGTCGTGTTTGAGGACCCCACTTTCCAGCAGTGGGTGGAGGAGCTGGCGTGCCTGGCCTGCGGCGGCGGCGACGACGAGGAGCAGCTGCTGCTGTGCGACGGTGGGCGCAGCCCCGGGCAGAGCTGGCAGAGGGCAGCTGGGCGGCCTGGCAGCCAGTCCAGGCGGCAGCTGGCCACGCGGCGAGGCGTGCCAGGGAGTGCTGCCTGCTGCCTCCTAGCCCACCTCTTGCCGCCGCTCCCCGCCTGCCCACCACCTGCTTGCCTGTGCTGCCTGCAGAGTGCGACCGCGCGTGCCACACTTACTGCGCCGGGCTGGCAGGCATCCCAGAGGGAGAGTGGTTTTGCCCCAGCTGCTCGGAGCGGCGCGCCCGGCGCCACGCCCAGCGCCAGCGCCAGCAGCAGCAGGCAGCGCGAGGCAGGGCGCGGCGGCAGCCGGCGGCGGACTCGCCTGCCGGCCAGCGCCGGCGGCAGCGGAGGCAGGAGCAGGAGGTGCTGGACCTCTCCTCAGACCCGGAAGATCTGGAAGACGGCAGCGAGGAAGAGGCGGCGCCTGCCGCCGCGCGCCGACGCCCAGCGCGGCAGCGACGCGCCGCCGGCGCCGCCGCGCCCAGGCGGCAGCGCGGCCCGGCGGCGGCGCCCGGCGGCGGCGACGAGGACCTCTCTGATTTCATTGTGCAGGACGATTCGGAGGAGGAGGAGGGGGAGTGGCAGAGCTCGGGAGCCAGGTGCCGGCCGCTGGCAGCCGCGGTTGCTCGGCCCAGGCTGTGCATGCTTGGCCAGGCGGCGTTGCGCGCAGCACCGTGCCCGGGCTGCTCCGGTGCTGCTGCCTGGGACCTTCAAACCGGCGCTGCATTGTCGTAGTTCTGCTGCCGAGCATGCAACCATGCGCCCGCGCCTCGTGCAGGCCCGGCGCCGGCGTGGGCGCGGGGCGACGGCGCCGCCCGCGGCGCGGCCGCCGCCAGGCGCGGCAGTCTGCCTCCGCAGGCTCCGACCAGTCCACTCACGAGCGCTTCGGGGAGGGGGAGACAGGCAAGGGCGGTGTGGTGGTGGCGGGGCAGGGTGTTGTGGCGGCGGTGGGGCAGGGTGTGTAATTTTCTCTTGTCATCCTTGTGTGTGCACCATGCATCGCTCGGCGGCTGCCTGGCGACCCACGGCGGCTGCTCAGCCCACGCGTGCCTAACTCGCCACCACCGCCGGCACCTCCCCAGCTCCCCCACCCGCCCGCCTGCGCATGTGCGACTGTCCCCGCCTGCAGAGCCGGAGGCAGGCACGAGTGACAGCGGCAGCAGCGAGGCTGGCAGCCAGGAGGAAGAGGATGAGGAGGAAGACCCTCGGCCGCTGCTGGCCCGCCTGCAGAGCCGTGCCGCCAGCCGCAGGGCCCAGCAGCGGCGCAGCGAGGCCGGCGGGCGGCCCCGCCGCGCCGCCGGCAGGCAGCAGCGGCGGGGAGGCGCCCTGCCGGGCGCAGATGCGGAGCCCACGCAGGCCCACAGGTGCGGCTGGAAGCTGGCGCCCTTGTTGCGCTGCTGCTGCCTGTGCAGCCTGAGGAGGCCTTGCTTGCACAACAACAACAATATAACATGTTTCGCCTGGCTGGCAGCGGCTGGGGGCCCCTGCCGGGCCACTCCCAGCACTTGCTGCTCCTGGCTAGGCCCTGCCACCTCCTCAAATGCGTTCTTCATCTGCTGCCGCTGCTGCTGCCGGCAGGAATGTGTCGGCATTGGCCCAAAGCTGGGACGACCTGCGCCGCGGCAGCACCACCTTTGCCGCTGTCCGCCGCTCGGCCTCAGCGGGCGGCGGCGGCGGCGGCGCGGCGGCGCAGCCTGGCCAGCTGCAGCGGCGGCGCCTGGTTCGGGCCGGCGCGGCGGCAGCGGCGGCTGGCGGCGGCAGCGCTGGTGGCAGCAGAGCGGCTCCCCGTGGGGGTGAGGCTGTGACCAGGGAGGGCTTGGAACTGGTGGATCTTCTTTCCAGCCCCAGCCCGCTCGTCCCTGGCGGCCGACGGCCAGCAGGGGCCGCCTCAGACGCTGCTGCCGCGGCAGCAGACGAGCAGCTGGCCTGGCAGGTGCTGGATGAAGCGATGGGCGGCGACCCGCAGCAGCAGCAGCAGCAGCAGCAGCGGCAGCGGCGGCGGTCGGGGAGCGACAGGTGCGCGGCGCTGCGCAGCGGCATGCCGCAACCTGCATGCGCTCATGCTGCCTGCCGTCCCACGGGGCGCCAGCTCAGCGGCAGAGGGGCGTGGGTTTGCCAGTGTGCCTGTGTGCGCCGCTGGCGTTGCAGTCAGCAGCAAGCAAACCAGCTTGCGTGCCCTGGTCCTGGCTGCAGGCAGCGTGCGGCGTCGCCAGGCACAGAAGACGAATGGGAGCTGCCGCTAGCAGGTATGGACGCCAGCCCCGGCCCCGGCTGGGCCTGAGCGCGCACCCTCCTGCCTGCGCCGGTCGCAGGCCCACTTGCCTGCCCTTCTCACCCTGCTCACCCTGCTGCCCTTGCCCCTGCCCAACCCCACCCCAATGCCTTGCCTGCTGCCGGTTGCTGCAGTGCGGCTGTCCAGGCAGATTGCTGCGGCCAGGCAGATTGGCTCCCGCCTGGTGCCCCGCCGGCCGCAGCCAGGCGGCGGCGACGGCGGCTCGCTGCCTCCGCCGCCAAGCTCCGCGCAGCGAACCGTGGCCGACATGCGGCTGATGGCGGCGGCGGCCCGGGGCACGCCCGACGGCAGCGGGCGGCGCCACGGCGGGGGCCCGGGCGGAGGCAGCGCAGCCCGCCCGCTCACCATACCGCGCATCCGACCCCTGGAGGGCTTTGGGGGCGGTGGGGCAGGCTCCCCGCAGCGCCAGCACCAGCACCAACAGCGGGGCGCAGCAGCGGGTAGCGGGCCCTTTGCTCGCTTTGAGATGCGGAGCGGCGGCGGCGTTGGTGACAGGCCGTGGCAGGCGCAGCCTGGTGGCGGCAGCACCGACCCTCGCCTGGACTTCCAGCATCAGCAGCAGCAGCAGCAGCAAAGTCACGGCGCCTATGCAGGGCGTGGTGGCATGCAGCCGGGCAGGGGGCACACCAGCCCTCAGCCCAACTCAATTTGGCCGCCGCCACCTGCGCTGCCGCCGCCGCCACACCCGCAGCAGCAGCAGCCCGCCTGGCAGGCACACCAGCCCTGGCAGCGGCACTCGCCTGGCAGCGGCGGGTGGCAGCAGCAGCAGCAGCAGCTGGTGCAGCAGCGGGCCGGTGGTGGAAGCGGCGCCGGCTTTGGCCCGAGCCCACCTCCCACCTTCACCAACACAGCCATGCAGCACCAGCAGCACCAGCACAGCCGTGCAGCAGCCGACAGCGGCACTCCGGCTGTCAGCCTCGCCGCAGGTGGCAGCGGAGGGATGGCTGCCCTCAGCTTGCCCACAGCCCGCGAGCCTCCACCTGCCCATTGTGGCGCCGCGGGCCGCCCACGCCCGCACCCTGCCCCAGCAGCAGCAGCGGCGGCGGCTCCCTCGCCGCCATCAGGGTCGGCACCGGCCCGGGCGCCCGCTCCAGCCCTGGCAGAGGCGCGACGAGGTGGTGTGGCGTCGCCCGATGCGCCTGCCTCGGCGGCCGGCCGCCGTCGCCAGCAGCAGCTGCTGAGCAAGCAGCAGATTCTGGACTTGGTGAAGCCGCTGCTGAAGCGGCGGCTGGCAGAGGGGCTCCTCCACCGTGCCAGCTACAAGCTGGTGAGCTGGTCTTGCTGCGGGGCTGCGGGCGCGCCTGGTGGCGCCCTCCCAGGCTGGCAGGGCGCCGGGGCCTGGTGGGGCTGCATGCGTGCGCCTGCAGGCTGGCGCTGACTGTGTTGATGACAGGCAGACCTGGCCAGACAGCTATTGCTCTGTTCCTCTCCCTTTGCTCTGCTGATCTGATGTTTCCCTTCCAACACCCACGCCTGCCTGTGCAGGCCGCCAAGGCGGCGACCAGCTCGCTGTTTGAGCGCCAGCTCGCCACGCAGCGCCCCTTTGCTGGGGGAGCAGACGGCGAGGAGGCGGTGCAGCAGGCGGTGCAGGGAGTGCTGGACAGCGGGCTGCACTAAGCCTGGGCGCCGCCGCCAGCAGCACAGCAGCAGCAGGAGCTGCGCCCTTGGGGCGCAGGAGCCTCCCTCAAGGGAGCCGTGGCCCGCCTGGCAATCCATTTGATTTGTTGAACTGATATGCTTACGGTTCTCTTTTAATAGCTGACAGAACAAGAGTTCTTGTAACAGTTGTAATCGTACCTGTGCAGGCGTGGCAGCACAGCAGGAAGGCGCACATGCCAGCACAGTGCACGACAGTGGCACAGAAGAAAGAATTCAGAAGACTCAACAGAAAGCAGCATAGCATCGCACGTCATCAAAGCGGATCAGTGACAGATGGGCTGCTTGCACTCCTCTATGTGGCTCTGGAGGTAGAAAGGGGGCTGGTGTGTGAAGCTGAT